TAGAGAGATAAGGAGGTACCCCAAAATGAACTATTATTACTGCTAATAATAACAAGATATCCAATACAGGCAGTCTCTGACTTAAAACATATTTGAGTTACAAGGAACTGCACTTACTACTGTCTCTATCTTTACGTCTCTCTATGGAGTATGGAAGAAGCTCTGGTGGTGTAGTGTCTAAGGTATTTGACTTCTAACTAGAAGGCTGGCAATTCAAACCCACCAGCCACTCATCGGAAGGAAGATTGGGCAACTACTTCTGTAGTAATACTGCCTCAGAAACCCAAGGAGGGGTCGCTGTGATTCGGATCTGACTCGCAGTAGTGAGTTTGTTTTTTTTTTTTGAGTTATGGACTATGTTTGCTCAGACAATAGTTGCAACAGATGGACATACAGTAATATTACATGATTTTTGGAAAAATTATAATATTCTTCAGTGTATCCAGAACTGTTACAAATTTTTATGACTTGCATATATATTTTTTTGTATGTATGTATGTGTTAAAATATATCTGTAAGTTTACAGGTAATGTTTGCAAACCCAAAGGAAAATAAAGATTGGATTTATAAAGATAATGATAATAAAAGTCTATAATAATGAAAACTTAAAAAAGAAAAAGAAGTATTAGACTTATGTCCGAACCAAATTATGATGTAATTGTTGGAATAGAATGCTGTTATAAATTGCAGACCACCTGTATTAGCTTTCTTAATTGAGGAAAAAAAGATGATTTTTGTGGTTAAAAGTTGTTTTATATTTCTTGTGCACTATAATGTGGGGAAATGAAGTCAGTAGTTACGTAAATTAATGAGATTCCATACCTTTTATCTCTTTCTTCTTATCTCTATTGGTCTCTCCTTGTCAGGAGCAAAGAGTAAAGAAAATCAAAGACACATGGAAATAGTCCAAAGGACTAATGGACCATGAGAACCACAGCCTGTATGACCCTGAGACCAGAACTAGATGGTGCTCACTACCAATGCCAACCACGCTGAAAGGGACCAAAATTGGAAATCCTGGATAGAGTAGGAGAAAAAGTGTGGAACAAAATTAAAAAACATAAAAAGACCAGGTTTACTGGTCAGATGGAGACTAGTGAAACCCCCAAGACTATGGCCCCAAGTCATCCTTCAGGCCTGGAATTTTACTCACTCCCTTGACCTACCTCTCAAACAATAGGCGGATGAGCTGAACAACTATACCAGGGAGATGCACCCCTTAGATCATTCGATGCTGGGAGATCAGAAGGGCAGTATTTGCACAGAGAGAAAGGTAGGGAGGTAGGAATGCATCGACAAGAAGGGCAAAGGGAATTAATTTAAAAAAAAAAAGTTATACATATATATGTATAAATATGTATATGAAAATTTTCTAAATAAGCTAATTGTAAAACATTGTTTAGAGTTTTATACTCAGTGAAATATTTTAAAATAAAAATATTCATAAAATGCATGCATTTTGACCAGATAAAGTTTTTCATAATCTTCCTCTTACTATTATTTTTTAGGGAAAAAAAAAAAAAACTGTAAAGATTGCCACAAGGTGGCACTAAAATCTAATGAAAATTCCAATCCCTGGTCTTTGAGGAGTGGAGTGATTTACAAGAGATACATAAGAGAAACTAGGCAAAGAAAAAAATGACCAAATAAGTAGTCCAATGACCGAAATTGGGCATAAATTAACAACTTCCTTTTGTCTGAAGGATGGCTTCCCTCCCTCAGTGGTGTATGTTACCTATCATACAATGATTCTGTATGTTAACAAAATTAATTATTAAAATGATTTATTCTTATGGAAAAATTGAATTTTATCCTTGCCTTTCAGTGAAAAAGAGAAAAACCAACCAACTCACTGACATCGAGTCTATTCTGATTCATAGGCACCCCCACTGGGTTTCTGAGGCTGTAAATTGTAGATTGCCTCATCTTCCTTCTGCAGAGCGGCTGGTGGGTTTGAATCACCAACAAAATATAATTGTACAAGGTGAGGGGAGGCAGGGCACATCACTTAGTTTATCCTGTGATTGTTGTGGGGTTTTGAAGTAGCCAATCTGCATAGAACTTGTCAAAGTATCTCTGAACAAAAAATGACTACCATGAAAATAAGTTGCTGCAGAATGTGGAAGTTTCTATTTGTCTCCTTTGGTATGTTTACCAAACAAATATTTTTGGAAGTTTTTGCAATATTGAGACTCAGCCTTGGCACTTTTCATATGCTTAGGAAATGATTGTACTCAATCCTTCTTCCTGATTCTTAACATTTAAAAATTTTAAATAGATGCTACAAAGCTTTGTTTTATATTTTTTTATTATTTAAAGCTTAAGGACACAGCCAAAATTCCCAAACTATATTAAGACAAAAGAAAGCAGTGTTAACAATACAGCTATAAAAGATTTTGATTAAAAGATGAAAAAAATGTGTAGATGAGATTTTTCTAACAGGCTAACTTAAAAAAAGTTTCCAGATTGGAGCCCTAAATCAATGATCACAAATTCACTTTTTGCTGTGCGATTCCACTATGGAAAAATTAAAAATTGTTCACTTGCAGAAATATCAGACAATTTTGTAGATCTGGGCGTGGGGGGGGGGCGCATTGTAGTGGAGTTAATCCAGGGTGAGGGAGGCACTTCTGGTCTTTTGAACGAGATGTTCCTGATAGGATGGGCTCTAGAGTTGGTAGCACTGAAGTCTTATTTGACCTCATTACAAGTTTCTCCACATCTGTGGAGTTCACATAAAGACCTAGATCTCAACATATACATTTTATGTAAAAACATCTGGACTCAGTCACAGCTGGCTGCATGGGTTTGGTTGGGTGATTATTATCCAAGGTAGAGCTGCATAACAGGAGTTATACTGGAGTTAAGGAATGAGATTCCCCTCATATCTTGGCCCTGCCCCCAAATTTCCAACTGAATTCCTAAACATTTTTGCAAAATGCTAGGCATTGTTTCAGGTTTTCAAGATGCTAAGATAAATAAGACAAACTCCTGAACTTCCAACAGCTCATTGCCTAGAAAAGGAGACAGAAATACGAGGAAGTAATAGCCTCATCATGACATAGAAGTTGTCTTTCCTTTGTTGAGAAACCAAATCATCCCATTGCTAATACAGTGGATATAGCTCAACCCATTTAGTTAGTACACTAGCCCTCCATGATGCAGTCCCAAGTTGAGTTTCAACCTCCATCAAGTCCAGCCACACTATGCTACTCAGGATTTCTAGAATGTCTTATGCTTTTCTACTAGATTGCTTTAGTCCAAGCTATTCTACCTTCCCAGGATCCCTACCCCCACCCCCACCCCCTTCCCATCTCTCCTGTCTATTCAAAGCAGTGGACTTAGACCATCATTCTAGATCAGACTATGATGTCATCTCCTGCAGGATCTGGGAACAGACAAATTAAGTCCTGGTGTATATCCTGGTGGCACAGTGCCTAGGGCATTTGACTGCTAATGAGAATGGTTCAAACCCACCATCCATTCTGTGGAAGGAATGCAAAAAACCCAACACACTGCTGCCCAGTTGGATCCAACTCATAGCGACCCCTCCTTGGGTTCCCCAGGCAGTATCACTACAGAAGCAGATTGCCCAACCTTCCTTCCGAGGAGTGACTGGTGGGTTTGAACCCCCAGCCATCTGGTTAGCAGTCAAATGCCTTAAGCACTATACCACCAGAGCTCCCACTGCTACAGGAAGAGGTGGGCAATCTACTTCCGTAAAAATGTAATGCCTCAGAAACCCAGTGGAGGACTCTATGAGTCAGAATTCTGGTGGTGCTCTACAGGTTGAAGCTTTGGCCTGCTAACCAAAAGGTGGGTGGTTTGAACCCACCAGCTATTCCATGGGAGAAAGATGAGGCAGTCTGCTTCCATAAAGATTTACAGCCTTGGAAACCCTATGGGGCAGTTCTACTCTGTCCTATCGGGTTGCTCCTAGGTAGTAGTGGGTTTGGTTTTTAGTTTGGTTTATCAGGGAACTAGGAATCTAGCACCTTACCAGACACTATTTACTGTTTGACTGGCTGCCTGAATGTCATTCTCTTCTCCCAAGGCCTAAACCTCTCCATCTGTTTAATGGGAGGTGGGGCACTTGGATTCTATTGTACTAAATCAGACAGTGCTTTACTTTACCAGGATAAGAATTAATCATCAAAGAAGGGCTAAGTCTCTTTTTTTTTCTTTGCTTGGTAACTTCCTCAAAGTGGACGTGTAGCTCTGCAGCCACTCAACCCTTCTCCCAATCTTCACCTGTAACCCAAGTTGGAGGCCAGAAAGAGCCGTAAGCAGTAGGGCTCAGAAAAGCCAGGAGACTTGGCCTAGGCCCACACAACTCACAGTCTGCCTCTCACCTAATGGGTCCAAACCTAGGATTTCTCCTAGGTTGAGCACTGGGGTATGTTGTATGATAGGAAAGAGAAAAGGGGAAGGAAGATCAAACTCTGCAGGGGGGAGGATGGGGGTGGGTGGGTGAGGTGGAAGGAGGTGCGGGGCGCGTTTCTAAAAGAAAGAAAAAAACCTTGCTTGGAAATAAAAGTGTGTGTATTTAAAAACAAAACCATGTCCCTTCCCCACAGGCCTGACAACACGCTGGGGGTTTGCAAGGAATAGGAGCAATTCTGAGTCACCAACAACCCATAAAGTGCTGTCTCTACTCGAGCCCCTTGTCCAGGTCCCGCGGGCTCCAAGCAGCAGCTTCTGGCACCCGGTTACGAGCACATAAGCTGTGGCAAAGAAGGAAGCCCTAAGCTTGCAGGGTCCCGCCAGGGCCCTGCGGCGCCAGGCTCCGCGCATACTCCCCAGTCCCTGCCTCTCCCAGCCCCGCGGCCTAGGCCGTCAATCAAGCTTGTTCGGCCCCGCCTTTGGGCTGTAGCTGATAGCCAATCAGACCCAAGATCCGCAGCGATGAGCTCAGTCTGCTCGCTTCCCATTGGGCGGCTATATTAAGAAAGTGGCCAAACTCTTTAAATAGCGGGCGCTAGGGCCGCAGCCTGCATCTGCCACCGCAGTCTGGTTGTACCGGTCTCCTTCTTCCTATATTCTTCGTGAAGCATAACAGAGACCGAGAAGGAAGTGAGGCCGAGTCCGCAGCTCGAGCAGCCCAGCCATTTCGCACAAAGGCGCCGACCTCACCACCCCAGGGGCAGGAAGAGAGGTTACCGCCCGCGAGCAGAGCGTTGAGACGCACAGTGCGCCCTATGCCCCCGCGCCCCCACAGCCCCCGCCGCGGCGACCGGAGCGCAACGAGAGAAAGCGCCACCGCTGGGCCTGGGTGCAGCTAGCGACACTTACCGCAGCGCACAGCCCGAGGTGAGCGGCGAGCGAGACGGCAGCGAGGCGTTCGCGGACCCCCTCCTGCTGCCCGGGTCCGGCCCGCTCATGGCGGCCATCCGCAAGAAGCTGGTGGTGGTGGGCGACGGCGCGTGCGGCAAAACGTGCCTGCTAATCGTGTTCAGTAAGGACGAGTTCCCCGAGGTGTATGTGCCCACTGTCTTCGAGAACTATGTAGCCGACATCGAGGTGGACGGCAAGCAGGTGGAGCTGGCGCTGTGGGATACGGCGGGCCAGGAGGACTACGACCGTTTGCGGCCGCTCTCCTACCCAGACACCGACGTGATCCTCATGTGCTTTTCGGTAGACAGCCCGGACTCGCTGGAGAACATCCCCGAGAAGTGGGTGCCGGAGGTGAAGCACTTCTGCCCCAACGTGCCCATCATCCTGGTGGCCAACAAGAAAGACCTACGCAGCGACGAACATGTCCGCACAGAGCTAGCCCGCATGAAGCAGGAACCCGTGCGCACGGATGACGGCCGCGCCATGGCCGTGCGCATACAAGCCTACGACTACCTCGAGTGCTCGGCCAAGACCAAGGAGGGGGTGCGTGAGGTCTTCGAGACGGCCACGCGCGCCGCGCTGCAGAAACGCTACGGCTCCCAGAACGGCTGCATCAACTGCTGCAAGGTGCTATGAGGGCCGATCCTGGCCCCCGCCTGCCCCTACCGGCGCGGCTCCCCTCCCGGCCTGCCCCTCGCGAGTCCGGAGAAGGGAGACCCGCGTCCCCGAACTACCCCACCGGACTGCCTGGCGTCTGCCGTTAGGACCGGCAGCAGTCTACTGACGGCTCTGGCTCTCGCGCCGGCAGTCGGCGTAGGAGGGACCGGACGCCCCCTTCCCAATGTCTGTCTGCGTCCGGCTGCGTTGCACAGGCCAGGGCGCCCCGCTGAGTGCCAAGGATCCCTGAGCATCCTTTTCTGAAGAGCTAGGCGTCAGAGTGTGTGACTGTGTGTATGTTCGACTCTCCACGCCCTGTGTTCACCCCCACCCCCGCCTCTGGTCCCCGGAGCTGAGCTCGGGCGCCCTAGTCGGCCGCGCCCCATCAGATGTTCACTCAGAGCCAGCCAACGCCTGCCATCCCTTGTCTGTAACATACACCCCCGGGGACTGCGGGAGGGGAGGGCTGGGGAGGATGGGGGGGTGTGGTTATATAAATATAGATATAATTTTATTTTCGGAGGTAGGATGGTGTTATTTAATGGTGGTGTGGGTGGAGTGACAGGGCGCTAGAACAGTTCTGGCCCAGCCTGGGTCAGGCGCCCATCCAAGCATGAACTGGACTTGACCATCTTTCCGAATCCTGGGGAAGACTTTTGGAACTGACTTGGGGCTGAGAGGACACAGCTTCCAGACACAGCGTCTCCTGTGAACCCCTCACCAGCTACTGGGGCAGGAGGAGGGATTATGTGTTGGGGGTTGTTTTTGCCATAAGCGAACTTTGTGCCTGTCCTACAAGTGAAAATTGTTCAGTCCGAGAAACTGATCTTATTTGATTTATTTAAAGGCTAAAAATTTTTTTCCAAAAGTATTCTTTGCACAGTTGTTTCATTGTTTGACACTTAATGCACTTGTCATTTGTGTAAGACAGTAGCATTCTGACAACACTTGTACACTGTAATTTCATCTACTTCAGATTTATCCCATGATGACGACTTTTAAACAAGCAGAGGAAAAACAACCCCACTAATTTTTGCTTTGTTTTGTTTCCTTAAAAATGTGGCAACACTATGATTTTATTTGTGCATATTAAACACTATTTTGATAAAGGGCAGTAATAAGTATTGGGACCTGTTGAACATATTTTTTCCCCCAGAAGTCAGTCTCTAAACTATGTGAAATTTTCTCTGCATCTCTGTACAGAGAATAAACCTACCCCTCATCTTTCTCCCCTCCTCCCCAGTGGTACTTCTACTAAATTGTCTTGTTTTTTATTTTTTAAATAAACTGACAAATGACAAAGTGGTGAGCTTATGATGTTTACATAAAAGTTCTATAAGCTGTGTATACAGTTTTTTATGTAAAATATTAAAAGACTATGATGAGGACATTTATAAAATGACTCCTGTGGTTTAATTGTATGTAAAATTATGCTTAGGAATTTGGGGCAAAGGAATTCTACTAGGCGGGATCCTTTTCTGCCAACTCCATTTCCATCATAGTAAAGGTAGGAAATTAGGATGAAATCCCTATTTTGGGGAGTGTGGGTTATGAACTCTGGTGGTATAGTGGTTAAGGCATTTAGCTGCTAACCATAAGAAGGTCAGGGGTTCAAACCAATCAGCCCCTCTGTGGGAGAAAGATGAGGCTGTCTGCTTCCATAAAGATGTACAGCCTTGGAAACTCAATGGGGGTCATTGTTAGTTGGAATCAATATGATGGCAGATTGGTTTCTGTGGTTTTGGATTGGGCAATGGTTGCTCCTCTCCCAAACCCAGAGGAAGATAAATGGATTACTCAGACACCTTTGACTAATGTGTGCTCACTCCAATTAGATGAGGCCAGAAGCCTTGATTTTACTTTATTCTGTATGCCTTAAGTCTATTAGAGGGCTTTGTATACTCTATTTTGATACTTGAAAAACTGTCATTTGTGCATTTTATATTTAGAAGACTTTTTTTTTTTTTTTGGTCTGTGTAGAACCAAAGGTGCTCTGCTTTGGTGGCATAGTGGATAAAGCATTTGAATGCTAACCAAAAGGTTGGTGGTTCAAACCTACCAGCTGCTCCACAGGAGAAAGATGAGGCAGTCTGCTTCCATAAAGATTTACCATTGGAAACTCTATGGGTCAGTTCTATTCTGTCCTAAAGGGTTGCTAGGAGTTAGAATCAACTCATTGGCAGTGGGGTAGGTGTGGGGCCAGTCTCTCTTAGTTAAGAAGGCTGACTACTGGGTTCCACTGTGGTCTTCAAGGGGTTACACAGGACTCCCATGAAATTGTAGGTCGTTATCTTGGGCTGGAGTTTCTGGGTAGAAGTTGGGGAGAGCCCAAGTAAGGAGCCAATTCTTGTATCATTAAACTTTCATCCGAATATGTGTCTATAAAGAACCTAGAATGCTTTATTGGAAGTATCTAGAATGGCAATATAGTGGACAGAACACTGGAATTTCGGGATAGTTGTTTAAAGTTGGAGCAGTGGAATTTGCAGATGTAATCGTGATGTGCTTTAACTTCAGACATTTAACAGACTGCTGCAGTGCTGCTCAGAACTAGACAGGCAGATTTATACTCAGAGACAACATTAAAATCCTTCGGAGGCGCGATGGTTAGAATTTGCCAGCTCCCAGCAGCTTCTAGGGAAGAGAGCTGATAGTGCCAAACTCCCAACTCCCTAAGAAGTGTGGGTTGTGTTTTTTGAATTAGCACTTTCTGGGTTTCGAGCACTTAGTTGCCACTCTCCCTTCCTCCCCCCACCCCCACCCAGGGCACTGGCAGAGATCTGTTTGCTTTAAAGATTGAGGTTTCCCTTTCCCTCCCAGATTCTGAAGAGCTTTTGTTGAGTAAAAGAAACCTGGTTGGTGATGACCTTTCACCCACTTTGCACTGAGCAGAGCCTTCTGCTCAGTCTGGCTGAATAGGCCAATAGCTTCCTCTTTGAACAACTGCCTTACCCCTTACTTGACCCTTCACTTGCACTCATCTCCATCCATTTTCTTCATTTAAACACATTACTTCCTATGAAAAACAAAATGTTTATCTGTAGGTTTTACAGCTCGCAAATCCTTTGGTAACAGGGAGTGCAGGGCTCTGTGGGGAGAAGCTCAGGCTTGGGCTGAATGCCCAGGACTCTGCTTTGCCCAGGACTCAGCTTTGCAGCCAATCAGCCAAGAGCCCAGAGACACAACCCCCTGAAAGGGCCTTTTCTGAGATTCCTGCTGGTACATATAGCTGTCTGTTTTTTATATTTCTGTGAGACAGCCACCCAGATGACGCATGGCAGCCTGAGTTATGCTTGTTTTAAAATGTATGGCATTTAATAATCCTGCCGGAACATACTCTTCTTGCTACATTAGGATCCGACTGGAAAGTATAAAGATGAATTGCTGTAGGCTGGAAAATCAATTAGGAAAAAGAGGTAAAACATCTGGTGTTACTCTTCGGATATGAAAATTCATTTTGCACATTTAAAATAAATGTGCTGAGTTCATTTAATTGCCTGTTGAACAGTTTCATGGAAAATAGTGGAGTATTTCATTGATCCTGGGCATTTTATAGCAAGGGCCATTGGCTTGGGTTCTCCTTTAATCTTAAATTGATCTGGATTGTATTTCTAATGTCTTTTTCACATGTGTTTCGGTGGGTTTAGAACACTGATTTTTTTAAACTTGAATATGTATCAGAATCACGTGGAAGTCTGGTTCAAACACAGATTGCTGGGTCCACCCCCAGAGTTTCTGATTCAGTGAGTCTGGAGTAGGGTGCATTTCTAATAAGATCCCAACTAATGCTGATGCTACTGGTTCAGGGACCACACTTGGAGAACCACTGGTTTCGGACAAGGAAGAACCCTTGTGTGAAAGTAGATCAAATTCTGCAGACTTAGGGTGTTTTCTCCTACAGTACTGACTTCTGTAACCCAAGCAGCACAGAACTTCCAGAAAGATTCCCTTTTAGAATGAACCACACATGACCTCTTCTCTTCTCCACATTCTTGCACTAAATGGAGTTTAATGTTCTTATACAAATTTATTTCTGCCATTCCTGAATTCCAATGGAATAGCACTCTATTTATCATTCAGCATTGGCACCTACTGTGTGGTCTCTGTGGGGGTTGGGGGAAAAAAAAGAAAGCAGGACACAGTCCTTGCCCTCAAGGATCTAGTTCTCAGCCCGATGAACCAGGAAATTCCTGGAAGCACATTCACAATGACCTCAAATACAACTTACTCCAGTATAGATTATGTAGGTTATGTAGGATACATACGTTACCTCAGGAGTTCAGGGGAGAGGTGTCTACTTTTTCCTGGGCAGCTGAAGAAGTTACTATGAAGGCAGAGACATTGAAGTTAGTTCTTAAAGCAGGAGTGCGTGATGTGTAGACGGAAGAAGTCTGAGGAGTGGGGCTTGGACCATCAACATACTGCCAACTGCTGGGTGTATTGTGTACAGCTCCTTTATGTTAATGTGGGGCTGGGCTTCTGGGAAATAAAACCCTCTTAGATGAGAACTAGGAGCTCTGGTAGCATAGTGGCTAAAGCACTTGACTGCTAACCAGAAGGCTGGCGGTTCAAACCCACCAGCCACTCCTCGGAAGGAAGGTTGGGTAATCCTACTTCCGTAGTGATACTGCCTCGGAAACCCAAGGAGGGGTCGCTATGAGTCTATGAGTCGGGGCCGACTCGACGGCACATAACAACAACAACAACAACTAGATGAGAACTACTTCTGCTTTTAACCCTTTTGCCATGTATTTCTTCAATCATGAAAAATGTTGTTGTTGTTTGCCATCGAGTCGGACCCGACTCATAGTGACCCCTCCTTGGGTTTTCCAAGGCAGTATCACTACAGAAGTAGATTGCCTCATCTTCCTCCTGAGGAGTGGCTTGTGGATTTGAACCGTCAGCCTTCTGGTTAGCAGTCAAGTGCCGTAGCCACTATGCTACCAGAGCTCCTGAAAAATAGTGTTACCCGATCAAGTGAAACAGTCTCTCCTCTTCCCTCCATGCCTATGGCTCAGGGAGCATCTATCCAGACAGGCCTGGAGGGCAGGTTGATGATGGAGGCATTGGTTCCTCGTGCCTTCAGCGGTGCAGGGCTAGCTTTGTGATAACTGGTCCTGGGAATTACAGCCTGGGCTCAAGGAAGTTGTGTGACCTCGCAAAGGGGCCTGGTATACCAGCCTGGTGGGAGGCAAATCCTTGCCACTTTACTTGGCCCAGCCTCTTGGCTGGAGGGAAAACTTGGGCACTCAAACTCAAACCCAAATCTTGGCAGTCCCTTTTTCGGCCTGGTAGGTGAAAGTCTGGAGGACTCCAGGCCAGGCCCAGACCTTCCTGTTCATTC